TCTGATCTCATATTTCAACACAATATTCTGCAGCGAATCTTTATTTGCACTATGGATCTCTCCATGGAACATTACCCTTATGGTTCGCGTAAAGATGTCATGGAAATTATAAATCGTTACCCCCATATTACGGTACGAGATATGGAGAATCTTTTCATCTCTGAAGGCCCATTTGTGGCAAGGTGTTTGCGCGGCACTGACATTCTCGGATTCATGGAAAGGTGGTTTATTCAAGATATCAGTTTCGATCGTGAAACCGCAAAACAGAAAGGCCGAGAACATGTTCAAGCTGGGCCTTTACTTCATGTGCATTCAGTACGTGTACAGCCAAAATCTCCAGAAAATGGACCCCTACATGTATATGGTACGATTCGGGTTCAGTATCAAAATATCGCTAGTGGAGACAAGGTGCAGCTTGTTGTTTACGAACGAAGTGCCAATGATGCAGACTACATAAGCCCGAGTGGTGGCGATTTAGTTCTTTTTGGGCCTCATATTTCCCATACTGGGATTACTGGCAACTGTGATTTGATAATGCCTTTGTACAATACAGCTATAGAAGTTGATCTCTATCTCAAAATTGGGGATTTTCCCCATTCGTTTGCTCATGAAAAGTTTTTGGTGGGGGGTACAACTGAAGGCGATGTTGAGGAATTGAGATCCAAAGAATTCCAGGATACACTTTGCTCCGCTACCTTGAGTTATATTAAAATGCCATTTGCTGCCCTTTGCGAAGTCGAAGTTCTATTCGATAGCAAAAACGAGGGCATAGTTGTTAATCTTGCTGGAAAAATTGTTGCACGATATAAGAACACCTTTGGAAACTATAACTCAGAACCGTGCGTTCTTTTTGAGAAGCAGAATGGCTTTGAATCAGTAAAGATGAATAATAAGCTCGGTATGTCAAGAAAATTGTTGGGGTTGCCTGCATATTCGTCACTTGAAGTTGAGCTGGACTTGATTAACGTCAACACAAAAAAGCCTATTAAGAAAACATTTACATGTTTCAATGAGGATGGCGTATTTGGTGGTGATCGTGTAGTGGACGTGGAGGGCGATTTTGTGATTAAACTGATAAGAGAGTTGATTTCATATCCACAAAGGTCAAGTGTGGACAAAATCAAGGTAGTTTGTTCTCTGAACGTAATAACTCTATGCAAAAAGAACTCCAAAGGGGGCTTAAGACACTAAGTTATAATTCACCATACACTCAAGATAAATATGTAGGAGTAATAAAAATATTGCAGTTAATGAATTTGATTTTTGAATTTAAACTTTCCCCGTTGCCAATGTAAAATAGTCATTTTGATAATATGGCATACTAAACTTCTCTTGCTTATTACTCGTTTCTTAATGATGTTTTTGGCTCTAAATGTAACCATGCATCACGGGTCTAACAAAATTGCCCTCTCTGTTGGTGAGGTAAGGTTGTGAACATCTAGGCCTAACCTGTGGGGTGGGGTGGGGGGGTTGTGTTTAAGGCTTCATTATTGTTCATGTTCATATTGTTTTCTATTACTAACACTACACAAGTTTTGTTAAAAGGCAACTCTTTACATTAAGAGAGCACTACATTAGTTTGACATATTTTATCTTACGCCACCTAATATCTAATGTTTTGTCATTTCTCTTCAGGCTAATAATGAAATGTCATTATACAACACTGGCAATCCTAGGTTTGTGGTTCTTACTTTTGTGCACTTTCATAATACTTCCTCTGTTTTTTAACAGTCTTCCTTCTTGCCATTTCTCAATTTCCCAAGATAAACTTCTAACTTTTACTTTTTACTCCTCTTTCCCATTCTCAAAACACTTTTTACAACACTTTTTAACATTCCCAACAACACTATTTACATTCCCAACATCTCTTTATTCCTTTTCTCAAAATATTTTCTTGACCACCTTAAACCAAGCAATATTCAATGAAAGAAAATTTCCAATGACGGTGGGTGTATTAGCTTAGTCACTTTTTACGATTTTTGTTGGTTTATAAATATTTTTTTCCCATTAGGTATGATGTAGGTCAAGAGAGTACGCTGATACCATCAATGTTCGTAGAATTCTACTCAATCTTTATTGGCCGTAAAAAAATGGGGTCGGCATTAAAAATTTTTGGCACTGTTGAATTGTCTTCTGGTAAGAATAGTCACTACCTGTTCAAGAGGACAAGTGATGATGGTGTGGAAATAGAAGATTCACAGAAAGTGTTACCATTGGGAGATGTGCATATGAGACTTGATGAATATAGCATGCCTGAATTGAAGGTCGATTTAAAAGATGTTCTTGGGAAATTTCAGATTAGAGGTTTTGCTAGCCATGACCGTATATATGACTCCCAAATATGTTCTGTGTTTCCGGGAGAAGAGGGCTTTTGTGCATTGCATTACTCCATTTTCTCAAGAGCTTTTCAAGCAAAAATCGAGATCTTTGTCAAGAATAAAAGTGATCATATCGGGGGTGACACAGTCTATGGAAGTGCAATTGCGTGGTATAGCAATTTTGACTACCCAACTGAGTTTGAGAGAGATTATTTTCAGAGTGTGCTTTTCAAAAAGACCGAGAAGAATTCAGTACGATTAAAGGATGATGGGAGAGTACCACTTTCTCGCTGTGTAGTTGCGGTTCCAATGGGTTCGTCCCTCATTATTCATGTAAATTTGCGTGGCACACGTTATCATCTCTCGTGCACCGAGGCGTTCATGATTGGAAGTAACTCCTTCAACCAACCGATTAATGATCATGATCTTGACATCAAGTTGACTTGGAGTGATGGTAAGTAAGTGTATTTTTTTGGTTATTCCTTACTTTTGTGATTCTATTATTTCAGTTTTTGGCTTATAACAATATGTCCCAAACCAAAGCAGTGTGCCTGTTCTCCCAGGTGCTAGAGTCCCACATTCAATTATTTAATGGTGAAACACTTTCTTTTGATTCCCCTTTGTGAATCATTTATTTTACACAAATCAAATTGCCCCATAATTTTCAATATGGTGCAGAACAAATGTTATGCAACATTTAGCTAAAGTGGTATGGCAGGAGTTCTTATTTGAGTTATTTCTGATAATCTTTAGTAGTATGCTCAGTTTGTGATGTGTCAATCAGGGAAACCAAATTAGCAAAATTATTGATCTATTTGTAGCATTTCATGATGCTTATGACCAATGATTGATGAATTTCTTGAATGCTGTTGTACAATGTAGTTTGATGTTGAAGGGCAACTATGGGAACCTTTATGTAAAAGTGCGTCTGAAATGGTTGTATTGATTCTTATGTTCAATACAGACTAAGAATCAATATATTGACGACAGAGAGATATTAATAATCTTGGCAAAATGCCGGAATGCAAGATAAAGAGTCTCAATTCACTGCACAATGTATTGGACTTGTTGTTGACGATTTTATCATTATTGACTTTATTGTTGATGCAGGATTGCACGATGGGGGGAATGATTCAGACAAAGACAAGGTAATTCATTGTTTAATTGTAATAAATTTATGTTTAATTGTAATAAATTTATGCAAAAAGAAGTCCGTGTAAAAATTATAAAAGTTAGTTGAAAATGTACACGAATTCTCCCATGTTTGGACCATCGTACAACTTTTCCTTCCAGAATAAGTACAACACAAGGATACTCCCAAGAGATAACCCATGTCACAAAAAAGCTTCAAAGATAGGGAAGTTCATCCCTTCATTATGTCTATGCTGATTTGGCTATTTTATTTTTGCCACCTCACTGATTTGGCCTCAGCTTCCTTGCATTTCAAACATTTGAGCTTAAGAGTGTAATTGTAAGACCATGGTAGTCAAAATCGCAATCTGGATCGTACGATTATATGATTCCGCAAATTGCCAGGGTGTTTTCGATCTGACTCGTGCTGAAAATCACAATTCTTGATAGAATCGTAAGGATCGGCGATTTGGATCGTTGAATCCTAGAATCGAGTGAGCTTGCTGATCAAAAACAGGAATCCACAAGCGAATTGTGAAACAATTTTGTTTCGTGCCGTCGCTGTTTACTCGACCTTTCCTAACGTTTATCCCCTCATCCCTTCATAAATACGACCCTTCTCCCACACAAGTATGCTCAAATACTTACAGAGTTAATAAACCTTTGCACATCAGCCATCACACTCCTCTTCTAGCTCTGCTACTGGCTATTTCCCTTCGCAAGCGGCAATATAACGTCTCTCACGAATTTTATCACTTTTGCCCAGGTATTATTTTAAGCCTTTTAATTGTATATTATGTTTTTTTTCTTTTTAGGCTTCACTCTATTTTAGTACTGGCAGTGACTTTTTTTTAAGTTGTTTCCTTTTAGGCTTCATTCGCTACTGCCTACTTGCAGTGTTTCTTTTTTTGGTCAAGTTTCTTTTTTTAATGTATTACCTTTATCTTTATACTTTTAGTTGTTTTAGAATAATGTTTTAAGTGATTCGTGGATGAATATATATATATATATATATATATATATATATATATATACACACACACATACATACATACATACATACATATATACACACACACACACATACATACATACATACATACATACATACATACATGTGTTTGTGTGTGTATAATATATTATTATATATAAATATGTATCTTATTATTTATATATTATATAACATAATATATATCTGTGTGTGTGTGTGTGTGTATAGTAGGATCTTACGATTTGAGTCACGATCTTACGATGTTTTGATCTTCATTAGGCCTAGCAATCCTAAGCAGAATCTCGAGTTTGACTACCATGTGTAAGACGCTCCAAAGTGGGGAGCATTCATTTATATTATTTATTTTCCCTCTTTGATTTAAGAAGTAATTGAAAATTGGAGATTCATAATGGACATCCGAAAAGAGTAGGGAAAAGGCATGTCCTAGTGTCAAAAATGCTGACAGAGCATCAGTATGGACATTAGAGATGATAAACTACATTGTTTTAGGAGTATTCATTGACACAAATCATCTCTTTGGATTATTATTGTTCAATATTTATTTTAGGAGTATTTTTGTTAGTAGGTCCAAACCTCTGAGAATCTTTGTATATTTTTTCCAGAATTTAACAAATTATATTTACAGATGTTGACACCTTTCTGTACCATGATGTTCTCTTACACAGTTGGTCGGCTCTCTTGGTCTCTCTATATTTTGATGAAAGTGATAACAAGAGTCTAGGAAAATTGCAAGATAAAGAATCACGATTCAATGCGCAGTGTATTGGCTTTGCTGTTGATGATTTTGTTATTTTTGTTGATGCAGGATTGCAGGATGGGTAGAGTGAATCAGACAAAGACAAGGTAGTTCATTGTTTAGTTGTAATATATATATGCACCGGCAAAAGGATGTCTAACATGAGTTTAGTCATAAAATTACATAGGGTAAAAGAATAATTAATATCAATGAGTTTGATTTGATGTATCAATTCATTCCACAGTGAATTTAGACCTCAATTGTTGTACCCAACATTCAGCGAAATTGAAATAGAACTATTTATTCCCTTTGAGAATTTGATGAGTAATAACAGTAAGATTTTGCAGGGTTGGTTAGTCTTGAGTCTTGACAATTAATCCATTATTTTCTTCTAAAAGCATTTTGTTTACTTCTTACATCTTTTGAAGTTCTGAGTATTAAGTGAAAACCAGGGCTGCATATTTCGTTACTCTCAAGACCTCATTGAGTTGGGATTATACTCCGGTTCTTTTTGTTGTTTTGTATTTATTATTTAAAAATACATTGAAGGTATAAATGCTCTTGTTTGTTACCTTGTTTGTATTAGATAGGAAAAACTGGGGTAATGGGTTGTTGGGCTACTACTGCCCCTACGGCGATCTTCTCTTGTTGCTAATCTTATTTGTTTGCCTTTTCAAGCGTCAAGGGACAGCAACCTGACCAGCTCAATTGGGGGAGTGATTTAGACGAAGACGAGGTAAATGAAGTTTTCGGCTCTCTTTTTCTGAGTATATTTTGACTAAGAAGCAAATTCTTTGTGAAATAGAAACGACAATAATCTTTTAAAAATGCAAGCAATAGAATCTTAATCTTGAAGATATGGCCTTAGATAGGAGCATTTGGAATAGTTGGTTAGGCCCTTTGGGCTAATGGTAGGTTTCTGTACTTTTTGTGTGCCTTGTATGCTTGGTGTTCTTTGATTGCAGTACTGATCCTTTGTTAACTTATGCTTGCCTTTTGTCTTTGTGTGCTCTGTGCATTATCCGTCTTTTCTCTGCTTCATGTACCTCTCATGTGAAGAATCTTTTATTATATATGCAGCTTGAGTTGGGTGTCTCTTGGGAACAGCCCCTCAACTTTTGAGTAGGGGCAAGGTCTCCATAGACAAACTCTACCCTGAACCTACTATCGTAGGATCAAATGGGGGCTGTATTTGCACAATGTGTAATTGTATATATTGGGGTTTGTGTTGATGTTTTTTTTTGTTATTGTTGTTGCAGGATTGCCGGATGGGTGTAGTAAATCAGACAAAGACAAGGTAATCTATTCTTTAATTGTACTCTGTAATAGATATGCACATTGACTTGGCATTATGCTAGTGTTATTTTGTTTTTTTTAAAATTAAAAGAAGTATAGATACAATAGTTTGTTAGCTTTGTCTTTGGTTAAAAAAAAAACCGATGTAATGGCTTTTTGTGCCCCGTGGAGTCATTGTTGAGATGCTATTGAATCTTATATTGCTGCTAACTCTTTTTATTTGGCCTTTTCAAGCGCCAAGAGAAAACAACCCGATCATCCTAATGGGTGGAGCGATTTGGAGAAAGACGAGGTATACATTCTTTAATTGCAATAAAGTTGTGCAAAAAGTAGTACAAATAAAAATGCAACATTAAGTGGTAGCGAGTTATTTTTGATAAATAAATACCCCCTCAAAGCAAAATGACTTCCGTTGATTTGGTGGGAAGTTCATTTTCCTACCCTCTTGAGTCCCCTAATTTCACACACAAAAAAAAAAAATCTAAGAACTCCCTCGACCCCTGCCCACAACAAGAGACCCTACCCCTGCATCCATTTCACCTCTGCCCGTCTCAACTCCCCCACCACACCCCACCTCTCCCCCACCCCTGCACACCACCTCTACCTCCCAACCCACACACCTCCTCCCTTACCTCCGCTCCCACTCAATAATGGGTGATGTCGATTCTTACTCACTAGGCCAACTATGTCCCGATATAAAATTTCCCAACCCACACACCTCCTCCATTTCCTAAATGATTTCACAGCATAATATTCATCTTATTCAATTCATCATCAAATGATGAGTATAAATATTACAAAGTAAATAATCAAAACATTCAAGGAAGGTAAGTGGAAGATAATCAAATATCTTTGATTGGTAATTTGATTCTAATCAAGGATATTATCCTAATCATCAATAATATTCCTTTGTTTGACACTATTCCTTTGTTTGACATTTCTAAAACTCCCCTCAAGTTGAATCATCCGTTTCAGATGTTTAACTTGCTTAATGTTGCTTGAAAGAATTATTATCCGTGCCCAATTTTTTCTAGTGCAGCCTATTTTTTTTTTTTAGTGCAGCCCATCCTTTTAGTGTAGCCCATTTTCTTTTAGTGCAGCCCAAGTATTTTGCAAGTCTATTTTAAAGAGTTTAAAAAGATTTAACTTAAATTATATCTAGGCTCGATCAAGAGCCTCTTCCCATCCCAGATCTGCCGACTTGCTTTCTTCTAAATGTTTGTGAACCCTTCTTTCTTTTTCAGATTATGTGTGGACTTTTGTTTCATATGTTGTGCCTTATTATTTATAATATATATATATATATATATATACACACACACACACACACACACATATATATATATGTATGTATGTATATGTATATATAGGTCGCCTAGGCGTCTGCCTAGTCCCCTAGGCAGTATGAAGGTATATTGGCGCCTCGCCTCGCCTTACCGCCTTACAAACTATCATAGTATATGTTTTTCCAAAATTAATGTGGGTAAAATATATTTACAGGAGTTACCTTCCCAAGGCATGCTAGTATGAAGAAGTCGCCGTTCCGATGCATCCCTCTGCCTAAACTTTGGGTTGACATTTGCGGTTCTTTGGATGTTAAGTATTTGGTCGTGTTTTTCTTCTTTTCAGCAACTCCGAATGCGTTTTAAATTGATTAAATTATCATATTGTGCGACTACATATTTACATTATATACTGATGATGACTGTATCCTCTCTTATCCAAACACCTGCCATTCTATGCTTTCACTATTTACTACTTCATCTTTTATTTAAAAAAATCAACTCCCTCTATATTTAATACTGTATGTTGGATTTTTTAAATCACGATTGACAAACCACAAATAATCCCACAAAAAGCATTAGTTTTGTGATGGACTAACTTTATAAAAACCAAATTACAAAGTACTAATGGTAGAATATATTATTGATACTAATATGGCATGTTTGGGAACATGGATTTGTAATTTGTAATTTTTATTTCTAAATATTACTTCCTCTGTTTGGAAATAAAGTTTTTATTTCTTCTTTTTCTCCATTTGGAAATAAAGTTCTCATTTTAATTTTTATTATACAAACTACTCTAAATATTATCCTCCTTATTTGCCTTATTTCATCTTTTTCAAACGTTTCCTCTCCATTCTTTTTTCTGGATTGAAACAATCTCTCTCCCTTGCTTTTCCCTACAAGTTCCATTTTCTCGAATGAGGACGTTGCTGATCAGCTCTTCCCAAACTTTGGGTTGACATTTGCAATTCTTTGGATGTTAAGTATTTGGTTGTGTTCTTTTCTCTTTTCAACAAGTTCGAATGTGTTTTAAATTATCATATTACAAGTTAACCCCGTGCTTCGTACGGACTCGTATATATTCTAAATTTTTGAGATTCTATAAATACTACCTCCGTCCCATTTTATAACGCCTGTTTTCGATGTTTGACTGAAATTATTTTCAAACCATTTTATATGACAAATGGTATAGAATTAAAAAATAAAAATTACATATTAAAAAACTACATCAAAAGATCTACAAAACTAGTAGTGACAATAATATTTTATTTTATCAAATTGCTAACGAAAATAGAGAAAGAAAGTGAATGAAGTTTGACCCTGTGAATAGTGAACATGCATTACTTTTCTCTGCAGATGCCATTGTTACTGAAAAAGTTAACAAAATTCTATATGCAATACAGGCATTCTGGTAACAACCTAGTTCTTTTAAATGCTTTAAAACATCTATGGGATTGCTAAATTCACTGGTTTGAAATAAAATCCAAAATCATAAATTCTACTAAGTAAAATAAGGAATAAAAAACTAAAAAAAGCAAGCAAATAAAAATATATCATAAATTAATATCAATTCATTAATTTTTCCTTTTTTTAATTGTTTTTTTATTTTTCAGTTTTAGTTTTTTTATAAATCATAAATTCATATTATTTCAACAATTTTTCAGTTTTTAATTTTTTTTGATTTTCAGGTTTTTTAATATAAATATATAATTATCATAAATAACAAATTCAATATAATTCATCCAAATCAAATAAATAGCATATAAAATCATTCATTCATTCTATTTCAATGAATGAAATTAGAAAAGATTTCAAATTAAAAATTAATAACTAACCCTAGATTTTAAATCTAAATAATGAAACAATGAAAGAAAATTAAGATTTAGGAAATAAAAATTACAAAATTAGAAAGGAAAGGCTATGAATAATTACCTGGAGGCGTGGAGATCGGCGACTAGGCGTCCGGCGACCGGCGGTGGAGGCGGCGACTCAATCGGCATTGCGCGTTTCGTCTCTAGACTCTGGTTTCTTCGTCACTTCCTGATTTCGATCGGCAATGTATTGACTGACTTCTTCTGTTCCGTTCTTTTTTTGGTCTCACATTGGTGGACTACTAGCTACTGGACTAGCATGGGCCTGGGATATACATATAAATTATCCAATCAGAAAAAATTTGTGTGTCCCTGGGATAGAGGACGTAGAAGAATGTAATATCATATTTTCGCTAACATATAAATTTTAAAATACGACCATAATTTTAAAGAATAGATGATAGCACTCCCAATTTTCTCTCTTAAAGTTTTGGGTAAAACAGGAAGAGTTTGCCAAAAATCACCTCTAAGTACAACTATTTTCCCTTTGAGTCATACTTTTTCCCCTCCGAATTTAACTATTTTCCCTCCAAATGGTTCATTTCTAGAGTTTTTATTAGAGAAATTCATTACATCTCTCATTTTGTGATCCAGCACCTTAAAAATAAATCTATTCATCATGCATGCTCCATCCCATAGTATTAGACTTACTTGTTGGATTAGTTCTGCTTTCGGACTTTAATTTCTTGTTTGATGGCACACGTTATGCAATTGCCCAAAGAGATTGAGAATCTCAAGTGCAATGTCATTCACCTATGTCCTTCTCCCATGAAAAAGTAATGTTGTAATACCACTGGATGTGACATTCCAGACAATCTTATCATTTGACATTAGAGAAATAAATACTGATTTCCATAAAAAAAATATTTTTCAGTCCCTTGTAATCATACATAAAAAAGAAACCTCCTTTTTAAGGTGTCACAACTTCCATTATCTCATCGTATATATTGTGTTGATATTCATTCATCATATATAAGTATCTCATAAGATAATATGCAAACTTTTCTTTTTCACTTTTATAATGCAAAATCATTCAAGCCCTTGATAGTTTTCTCGGCAATATACAAAATGTTTTATGAAAATACAAATAATTATAAATTCAAAATTATATTTCTCTTAGATGTGGTTGTAACTTGTAACTTTAGGTTTATGTCCCAAGATAATAGATCACTCTATTGCAGTGGAAATATTATATGTCCCAAGATAATAGATCACTCTTTCATGGTAGTGTGTTAGGTTTATATTCTCCAGAGTACCATATTAAAGAAATTCAGCACTGACGGTTACAAATTATGGTCTTTAGAAATGTTGCTACTACTTATATCGTGATGTACATCACAATTCTTTAGACGAATTCTAAGAATATGCTTTTAAAGTTTCGATTCTTTAGTTCATCTTAATCCATTTTGAGATATCATATTTCAAAATATCCAGAATTTGGGTGCTTTACTTATTTTACAATTTAAGATTCTAAATCATCTTTTTGCATTTATTTATATTTCACATGATATCATATTATTATTTGAATTGGCACAAATTAGCAAATTGCACAACACATGCAAAAATATATACTTCTTTCGTCTCTATGCACATACAAATTGAGAATTTGAATGACATGAGGCATTTCATTGTATATGGGAAAATTCAAGCTCCCTCATGTAAAGTGAAATGAGGCAACTAAATGACACAATTCCATGTCCCTTCTTACTCCATATAAAGTAATTAGGATTTGACAACTACAATCTACAGCATGTACTGAGTATATTCTTTTAGAAAAAATTAACGTATGCATTAGGAAATTATGAACTCAAGTCTGGGTGGTATGTATAAAGAACCTTATTGAGATGGTTGGGGACAAGAATCTGTGTTTGTTTTCGTGTCTATATTGGCTCAAGTGAAAAATCCAAGCTAAAAAGCTGTCGGAAAGGGGTAAGCACAAGATTAAGAGAAATATTGGAGGTGTTTTTTTACAAGTTTCATAATAGAAATGTTATGCTGGGAAATTATATGTCTTAGTGATGTCAAACATGGAAAGAAACCTAAACTAAAATTTGATATATGCTGTATATTTGTATAAAGATTTTTTTTAAAAGATATACATGTGTTTTTTGTCAAATTAATTTATAAAGATTTTTTTTATAAGATTGGGATGAATAAAATAATCAAAACATACGCATTTATTTTGTGAATTATTATTAAATAGAAATGAAAAAATCTCAAAAAATATACTACATATTTTTACATATATATGATTTTTCAATTGAAGGATATCATATATCATTTATACGTATAATTATATAATTAGATATTATTCATTTTAAAATGTATAAACAAATATTTAAATTTTTTGAATTCAACTAAAATTATAGAAGAAAAATATTCCCGTGCAACGCAAGGAGAAATACTAGAAGCCATTTTTAGCGTAGGGTTTGGCATCGGACGGTCAGATTTGTGAATTCACAGTAGTCCACCAATTTGGTGTACTTTTGTCATTTGTGAGAACATTATATTGTTATCTTATCTGTAATCTAATTTTTTAATCTTATAGACTTTACATCTCTCTTCACCATGTGAAAATGAGGTTCTCCATCATGCTATTTGAGTAGATGGACTGGATTGATGCTTAAATTTAGCAATAACACGTCGTTAGCTACACTAAAAATGGCTTCTTTATCAGGAATCTCATTTTGTTATTTTGTGGATTTTACATCTCTCTTAGCTTCACCACGTTAGAATGAGGTTCTATGTCGTGACATTCAAGTAAGAAGGATTATCAAAATTGTGCCTTTACTCTGATCCTCGCTATAATCAGGTGTGTCTCGATCTTTTCTCTAAAATTTTCCTTTCGTTTCTCAAAATTGTGAAGACATTTTGGTTCAAATTTGGAATTTTAAAAGTTTTGCTCTGTTGAAGATCTTGGATTCCTTCAAATTTGATCAATCAAATTCTACTTTTCAAAATCTGGTTTTAATACGGAGTATTATAATGTTAACCTCACACTAAAAAAACTGAAATGTGTTTGATGTTTAGTGTTTTAGAGTTTATTCAAAGTGGTTTTAGAATACCGTACATTGTTTTATTCCTTATTGAGTCAATGATATTAACTTTGGATATATGATTGTATAAATGTTATTGATATAGGTGTTCATGGATTTGCTGGAGTATTAATTACGAACGGATTTACTGAATTCCATCATTACTGAACTCCATCATTGGTGGATGAGATATAGGTAAAACATTTGATCTAATAAAGATATGTTATGAAGAAATTCTATTTTACCCCGTAGTTGGAATTAAATATTGATGAATCTTGGTTGTATTCATGTTTTGATGAGTAATTCAACCCTTCAATTTCAAGTAGTTATTTTCTGGCGATGATTTTCTCAACGGATGGATGACCAAAAGAGGAGAAGTTGATGGACAATGAAGCATCACTTTCATCCTTTGCAAGCCTAAAAAGCTTTTATGAATTTTATATTTATTTCATTAATCTATTATGTAATCTCATATAGAAAATAAGGTTGATTAAATATCTATTTGTTCTTTTTAAATCAAATTCTTTAACGGGCTGCATTTTCTTATACTGGCTTTGTTGGGTATAGAGTTGGGAGCAGAATTATCCTTTTAATATGTGTGGGTGAAGTGGTGAACCAAAGTTTAATTCAATTTGGTATATATGGTTTCCTGAATTTTAAATTAAATGCACATAATGTGTTTGATGAATTGTTTATCCAATAGATGTATAAAAGTACTTTTTAAAATTCTCTTAGTTTTAGGATTGGGAGAGATACTTTAGGTTTATTTTCTCATCCTGGCCAGTTACATTTGAAAAATGTGTTACCATGTCTCATGCTATTTCAGTTATGTTTGGGAAGAAAATATGCCTGATGTTTTGTGATAATAATGATACTTTGGATATATCTTTTTTATAATAGGAAAAAAGGTGAACTATTTAACTGCTGCCATTTCAAGCTTCACTGTTTTTTCTTTGTGTGTGTGTCAATTCTTTCTTTATGGTGTTCATGTTTTAGGACACACAATCCTCAATGGAGGGAGACCAATAAAAACCTATATCCACCTATAATCCTGAAACGCCGGGGGATTTGGGGCATTGAGTCTCTATCAAAGTCAGGTAGATATAAATTTAAATTTTAAAATAATACACCTTCGAGGAGAAGGTTTGTACGGATTTATTCCCACTCTCTGGGAAGTGGCTGGCATCCAATAGGCTAGGCCTCCCTTCAGGATCCTTGCTTGTGCCAATTCAACAAGTACCCCCTTCGGTTTCAATTCAACCAGTACTCCCTTCAACAAATTGATTGCACTTGATTCATATAAAAAAATAGTTGTGCAAATTATCTTTAGTGTATAGTTGTTGTACACCAAAGACGAACCTATGCAAATCATGCTTTACTTTCTCTTGTATTCGATCTATGCAAAAATAAAATTCTCTTTTATTTATATATTTTTCTTTACATATTCTCATTGATCACTTCATAAGATGAGGTATTCAAATTGTATTTTGTTTTGTAGAACTTTTGAAGTACATCTTAAACATAAAATTTAACTTTTGAAACATGACCTAATATTCAAGTACGAGTCAATTAAACTTGGCTCCATTTGTGTTCCAGTATTCAAACTATGAAATTGGAATTGGGGATAACAATTCCAGTTCTACTGCCTGCAAGTCCTCATAAGCGACAATTCCTACCGAAAAATCTCTACATGCTTGCGTAAAACTCCTCCCATGCCTGGGCAAACCTCCACCAGCCGACTTCATGCCTCCATTGAAGCACTTCATGACTTCGTGTTGGAGTCTGCCATGGATGGTGGATGAGCAACAGATGACCCTGCATGGCAACATATGGCATAAATGAGGTGAAGGGTATATTGAGTGATGGTATCATTTTTCTTCTTCTTTTTATTTTAATATTTTATGTTTACAGTATAATTTAGGGTATCCAGATTTAAACTCCTAGGTCCAGCGAAGGTGGACATAGGCCATAACGGCGGCTCGGACAAGTATGGACAAAACACGAGGTAATTTTCTTAGATTTGCCTTGCCTCTTTTTTCAAGTATGGACAAAGGACCAATGACACCAATTAGAATTATTCTGGAAGTTTGATAGTTTTAGAACTTTTATTCTAAACAACTGGTAGATCGTAGTTGGAGGGGGAGTCATGGTTCTTCTGCTCAGACCGCCTCTCCACAATCTCTATTTCCGAACGAGTGATTACTCTTCAGGAACTGAGTACATTTATTTATTTATTATGCTCATTATTGTTTATCTACTACTCTTTGGAGAAGTGATCCAATAATAAAAATGATTGTTTGTGTTGTTGTTGTCAGACACAAGCTAAATACTCTGTATGTTGTTTTGTTGAAGAGTACTCTCATCTGATTTTTTCGTAATGAACTGAGTTTGATTTTCAATTTATCTTGATCATTATCTTTTCCATGTATGCAGAACAATCCACTGCATATATAGAGTTTGCCACTAACATACTTGGTACGCTTCTTCAATTACGTTTTAGCTTATGTCCTCTGTTATTTTCTAATGTTTCTTTTACTACTTCTAAACCACTCTTATAAATTGCGTTGGTTTTTTTAAGCGCAGAGGTGTAGGATATGGGAGTCATCAGTGTTCCCATTTTCATCCTGCGAACTCCAGTAATCACTTCTCTAACATCTTAGTAGCTAACTAAAAATGAAATAAGGTAGATCTTTTATCTCATTTTAAAATCGTTTTTTGTTGTTCATGTGGGGGTTATAACATAATTTGACGTTTTTTATATGAATCAGTGTATGGGTATGGAGGATTGATTTGGAGTAGCAGGGGAAGCAACCCAATATCCCAATCCATCTAGGACCAAATTTTTGGGAATAGACTATAATGTTTCATGTTTTTCTATCTTCTGAATTAGAAAAGTATGTCTAACTTCATAGATGAAGATGCAAAACCTACATGCCGTATGACTATCTCTCTCTCAGCTACTCACCGGATTCGACTAAGAGAAGAATTCTTAATTAAATAATTTTGTTGTTCAAGTGCAGAAAACTCTTCATGTTTAATAACATTAAACATAAAATAATGTATGAAGTATACATTTATTCTTGGACTATATTATATATTAATAGAAATTTTATTCAATGCTTTTTAAACTTTTAAAGTACAAATTTGTACTTTATATTAATATCGAATTATTGCTATATTCAATTCCCGTACATCGCACTGGTGAAATTCATTTTAATTTAAAATCAGGCAAGTTTGTGTTCGCATTTTCCTTCTCTTCGTCGTCCCAATTTCCAGCGGGAGGTGCCTTTTCTCGCCTTTCCATCTTCGTCGCGAGAAATTAGCAAAGATTTTTTCAAGGATTTCCATCTTCGTTGCTAGAAATCAGCAATTTTCCAGCGGCAAGTGCCTTTTCTCGCGAATCAACATTAGGTATTTTTCCATTTCCATCTTGAACAAGGAAAGACTTCAAATTAGGTATTTCTTTTCTTTAATTTTTTTGGGTATTTATATATTCTGGAGCAAAATCCGGAGATTGGATATGGGGTCATTCCATTTGTGAAAAAATCTCTGTTTAGACGGATCTTTGGGACTTGATTTCCGACGGTTCCATTATACGGAGTATATTCAAATATGAGGTACCCTTTCCTTCATTCAATTTAGTCTACGACTTCAATTTCCAATCTGTTATTAATCTGATTTCCCCCAAATTCTTAGGGTTCTTATTTAGTAAATATATTTATTTGTTCGAAATTATAGTATCGTCTAATCAGTTCTTTCATTTTACTTTTGCAATGGCCAAAATTCTTCATCCGTTGTTGAACATCAATCCTACAAGTAAATGAAGATGGGGAACTTCATTGAAATGATCTTGATGGAAGAACATGTAAGTCCAAAAGTAATTGTCCATCTTAATCTTCTGCACCATTTCTTTTATATACTGTGCATATTGAAAAATCATATTTTGTGTGTTCCCTAAATTTTTTAAGTAGATAAATAATTTGATCATATTTTTCTGTCTAAATTAGTTTTGGAGTAGAAAAAAATAAAAATAATTTGTGTTATAATATTGTAGTTGTTGGAATTTTTTATTATTATTTATGTTATAATTTATCTGTAGCGTCGTTGCTTTTATAGAGTTATGTATATTGATTGTATTCTTACTGTTTCGTATATTGATTGTATCCCCATAATATAATGTAATACAACAAACATGTTCTCATGATGGTCTTAATGTTCTATATTTCAAAATGCTAATATGTTATTAAGAGATATAGTGTTCCTCCTACTCCATCAGAAAAATAATTTTGTACCAAGTGGAATTTCACAACTCTAGAGCTTCAAGAAGATATGAACATTAAGGTAAACACTTCTAAAGAAAAACAGGAGAAGAGGAAGAAAAGCAAAGTAAGCATATCCACAAGTGATGTTGTTGGTGTGGACACTACTGCACAACAACCACTTTTGCATGAGGTAGAATCTGCTGCAGTTTTGTTTTCTCCAAAACCGCAGGACTTAGATTTGAGCCCAATGGAAAAAAATGGAAAAAAAAATGTCCTGAAAAAAGAAGTGGAAAAATTTAACTGAAGCTATCCTTGAGGCAAAAGTAGTTCCACCTGAAGCAGAGGACTCTTTATAATTGCCAGCTCCAGTGCTTCAAGATTTAGATGTTGGTGTGAAATTGTGAATACTACTGCACAACCACCACTTTCTTCTTTAATCTATTTTCTTAAATTTCTTAATCTTTTTCATTCCATCTTTGTGGGACAATACATACTCTGTATATGAAATGGTTCATAGTGAGGTATTTTTGTCATTTTTATAAGAATTTCACACATTTAGAGTTGAGATATATAAATCATTTACAATCTTTACTCATTTTAATGTGTTAGCTAGATTTTAAACAAAAACTAATACTTGATTTGTATTCAAAACAAGATGTCTCAATTTTACAATCATTGAATGATAATTACTTTTTCTAAGAGTGATATTCTACGTATATATTCATTCTTCTCAAGAACAACCCACCACACCCCTTAGGCATTTTTTTTCCGAGATTCGTACTTCTTTTTTAGACCATACATGTCGAAGACCATCCATCCATTGTCTAAAATCACTCCAACCAGTATGTGTGCAAATATGTTTGTATATTTTTTCATGTTTATACCTACATCACTAATTCTCGCTATTTCAATTGTGATGGAATCCTATTATACCTTCCCGTTTATATATGTGCTAATTCAGCCGTGGTTGTGCCCCAATCATAATGTTTAAATGTATCGTGTTTATGAGATTATAGCAGATTTTTGGAATCTTTTTCATGTGTTTGTTTCTGTTTTTCATTGAGGACTAGAAGTACATGTAAATGTTTAAATGTATCGTGTAATGCTTCTGTTTTTCATAGAGGATTAGAAGTACAATGTAAATGTTTTTATGAGATTAGTGCAGATTTTTGGAATCGTTTTCATGTGTTTGTTTCTGTATCATGTTTTTCATGTGTTTGTTTCTGTTTTTTGTATTTGAAAAACATGTGTGTTGAAAGACCTACTTATTTCACTTTGGTGTCTGATGGGATAAAGAAAATGGTTATTTAATATCATGGTATATGTACAAATGTTTAAGTCTTCAAACAACATTGCCACTTTGACTCAATCTAAATCACCATTTTCTGCATTCTATTTATAATCTGCACAATCTCCACTGTCTCATTCTAAATGCCCACTGTGTGCACTATCTGTTTAACTGAACCACAGGGTTAAATAATCATTTTTTTTTGCACAGTCTGCACTTTCTGTTCAACTGAATGTTATAAGAGTTAAATGAGTTTAATGTTTTTTTGCACTGTCTGCACTGTATGCTATAATGAGAAAATATAACATTGCTCAATATAACATTGGTTCTATCCTTCATATAATGTGATTAACATTTGTTTATATGAATTAGTGTATGGATATGGAGGATTGGTTTAGAGAATCACGATAAGCAATTAAAGAATCTGCGTGAAAGGAAGCCAGGCGACCCCGACTCAATGACCTCTCTCTTGCTTGATGGGAACCAAGGCCCCTCGGGTAAGAAATCAGTTTTTACTTCATCTTGGGAGATTAGGCATGCTTGAGTTGTGCATTCTGTATGCGGGTATAGTAGGGTGGTGTGCCAATCATCACCATTTCTCCGCTGACAACCATTTTCACCACCTTCTCCTCCAACGTAAGTATTTCTGATTTCAATACTTCAATTATCTAATTCTTCTCCATCAAAATTCACACCCAAATCAGTCTTTCGAAATTATGAGTTTTGTTTTACTACATACTTTTTAGCACTAAATCCTAGGAGATTATGAAATTTCTCCCAAAATACGGAGTATGAAAATTAAGAACTTTGTTGAATAAAAAATTTTAGTTGAATATATAATGAGTTGTAAATATAGCATGATATATACACCCTTCTCAAAAAAATTCACATATTGACTTTTTTGGTGAACTCTCTACATACATTGACCATTAATACATATAAATTTATAGAAATAAATATTTTAAAAAAGGTGATGTATGAAAAATACATCTTAAAATGAAATAAATTATATTAAATTTACATTATGACTAAGATGTATTTACAAGTCTTTCTGTTTAAGACTTTTTTTTTTCTTATTTTGTGTCTATATGAATTGTATCCCCTATCCACTGCCAATTCATCAGCATAAAAAAGGAGCTTGACTCTCATTTCAATCTTGATGGATATGGATGAAACAAACTTATCTATTGTATGCTTCAGAGAAAAAAAACAAAATATGTAATGGGAAGCATTCTAATTTGAGGGATACATTATTATTGGGGATTAAGGTATTAATTTGCAATTATAAATTTCCTATTGATTAAATTATGATGTTCAGATTCAATATTTCCATTTTCATAAATGTGATTATCATATATCAAATAATTATGTTTAATATCAAATTTTAAAATGGCATGAAGGGGTACGGTTAATGGGTTCTACTGTTCATTTCATTTGTTTATATGTGTTTGAATGATTTAGTCACTGATCTGTTGCACATTGGCATCCATTCCAATTTTAATTAGATTCCTTTTTTAAGCGTGTTAGTTCTCCCTATGCAAAATTTGAATCTCACTTTTTCGTTAATGAATTGTATTAGTTTGTTTATAGCACATGATCTTCCATTTACATTGTACTGCTTTTGCAAAAAAGGGGGAGTACTTCATTTTCATATTTTTTTTCCTTCCCAAGTGTGAACATACTCATAGATTTGAAACTGATATGAATATAACCAAATATGACTCTTGCTACTAATTGAGGAATGTGACTAAGGTTATGAGTCTCTTTGCAGATATGCCTGGAAAGAGACCTATAAGTCTGTTGTTCGGTTATTTGAGTGTGACCTATAAGACTTGTAGAATAGGTCATGTTTTGTGTTCCACTTTAGACTAAGAATAGTTTAAGAGCTTTGTGATCAATATGAATTTGGCCTTAGACTACGAATAGATTAAGAACATTTTTTTTATTTGGCCTTAGACTAAAAATAGTTTAAGAGCATTGTTGATATTGAATAATTGAAATGAATATTATGTGCATGATATCAAATGTTTTGATTATGAATTGAGATTCAATTTATGTAGATGTTTGATGCATTTGATATCTTTACTCAGTTTCACCGCTGAGCATGTAGTATGTTTTGTTTGCTACACGGAGGTGTGATTCATGTTAAAGATGGAATGTTCCCCAAAATGCACGAAGACAGATGAGATGTACGGATGTGGACTTAAACTAGTAATCAATTGAACAGAATTTTGAATGAATGGATTTTTGTAATGGTTAAACAATGATATTTGCTTCCGCACTATCATGAAATCTCCGATAATGATTGCTAATGTTTTGAAAAATAATTTTGATTATGTTATTATAATATTGTTTTTAAATTTTTGTTTCTAAAATACGTTTGTGGATAGTGATTTAGTAGCAAACCAACCCGCTAATCTATTGTATTCTGGTTATGCGAGTTGGGGTGTTACAACAAGTACTTGATCTTGAATGATTCTCCCTTTGAAAAAACCACTCTGTTTTGGAGATATGAGGCAGAATTGATATAAGTCTTTCACCAATAATTTTGGAGTAGACTTTTGCCATGAAGTTAGAGAGGTAAATTGGTCTGTAATCTTCAAAAGAGGAGGGTTTATCTCTCTTGAGGATAAGGATGATGGTAGATGAAGCCAAAGATTTAGGTATAGGAATGCCCAAAAAGAATTCTTGTGAAGCCTTTTTAACATCCTCCTTTAATGAATCCCAGCAGTCTCTTTAGACTTGGCCAGTGTATCCATCAGGTCCTGGGGCATTGTTAGGGTCTAGACTCCAAATAGCAATTTTCACTTCTTCCTCAGGGGTGAGCTTAGTGAGGTCATGGTTATGTTCATATTAAAGTAGGAGCGAAATGTTGTAGCTAAAATTAGGGATGCCTTCAATAGTTTTGAAAGAGTAAAAATCACTAAAATTCTTGGCTTCTTCTAGATGGTCTTTGTTGGACTCCTTCCATGACCCCTCCTTTGCTTTTGATTCTGGTAATATTTTGGTGGATTCTTCTGTCTTTGACCACCTTGTCGAAGAAAGAGGTGTTACAGTCACCATCTTTGATCCATTTGAGGTTAGCTTTTTGTTTCCAAAAGTCATACTCATTTCTGTTGGCTTGGATTTGGAGAGCTTTGATATGGTTCATCTTAATTCTGTTGTCATGTGAGGGATTCTCATCATAGAGTGTCTCAGCTTCCTTGACCAAATCTTCTAACTCAGAAGCATGTGAGAAAATATTTCCAAAGGTTGTTCTCTTCAATTCTTGGATTATTGGTCTGAGTTTGTCCAGTTTAGTCACCAAGCCTTTCATTCCTCCCCCACCATATTTATCCTAGTTGTGAGATACTAAGGTTTTGAAACTTAGGTGGTTGGTCCAACATTTTAGAAACTTGAAAGGCTTAGGACCAGTAAAAAGCTTTTAGGAGGTGTCGACCAGGATATGGTTTTGGTCAGAAGTGCCCCTTAAAAGATGATGACTAGTGATCTCCTAGAACCTGTTGAGGAGGTTTTTATTATGGAAGATTTTGGCAAGCCTTTTCCAAATTCTTCTAAGGGGTTAAATACCACTCCAATTGAAGGGATTTCCTATGAATGGAGGAGTAGTGAGACCACTATTCATGGTGGAGTGGTCAAAACTTTGTATGCTTTTGAGACAGGGGGTGCTCTACCCTTTGTGGTGATCAAAAGAGGAGATGGCATTAAAGTCACCTTCTAGGATCTAGGCATGGCTGGGGATGTTGCTGTAATTGATGATGTTTTACCATAGTGATTTTCTATCTTCGGTGGTGTGTTTTCCATACACAGCACTGAACTTGATCTCTCTAGATAGAGGTTTTTTTTTGTGAGGTTGAGGGAAAGGATTTGGTCATCATCAGAGTGGGAGGAATATGAGAGATGGGAATCATGCCACATGATCAAGATTTTACTTGTAGAGGATAAATTGGGTTTCTCATTTTCAAGTATCTTTATGGACCATCTATTGATTTTTGTTAGAGATAAAAGAAGGAAACAAGATTGAAGAAGGAAGCAGGATTGAAGAAGGAAACCGAATCCCTTTAGAATTAGGTTTAGTATCTTTCCTAGTTTGATTTGGTTTAGTATTTAATATCTTTCCTAGTTTGTTTAATTCTTATTTTAGTAGGAATAGAAATTTCCTTATTTACTTTACCCTCTTCCTATATAAAGAGGGTTAGATCTTTGTATTCAGATTAAGTTTCACAAGAGAGTAATACAGAGAATTTCCTCCAAAATAATTCTTTCATGGTATCAGAGACAGGTTTGAATTCTTGAGACCTCAAACATGCTTCTTCCCCTGCCGGTGGGCATACACAATTCAATGCCTACCGGCGGGATATTGTGATTTTTTTATTTTTTATTGTCCTCCCTCATTCCTTAAGAAGTGGTCGGACAAGGGTTGTTCTACAGAGAAACAACTCTTTCCGCGTCTACTGTTCACGATCGACCGACATCGCGTCCATCGATCGTTGCCTGTTTTTGTTGTTGAAGTACCAGAACGGTCGACCGTTGCTGAAGAACGGTCGAGTCGGTCGACCGTCCCGACGGCAGTTTCTCTTGAACACGGTTACTGTTCACGATCGCCCGGCATCGCGTCCATCGGTCGTTGCTCAGTTTCTGTAGTTTGTAGCAGTTCCCAATTTGTACGTGTAGGAATTGTGCAGATGCACGAACCGAGAGAACGTTTCTTTCAGGTTTGAAGCAGTTCCCAATTTAAACGTGTAGGAATTGCACGTGGGACCTGCCAGAGAAGCTTGCGCAGATGCGCGAACCGAGGGAACGTTTCTTGTAGGTTTGGAGCAGATCCCAATTTGTACGTGTAGGAATTGCACGTGGGACCTGTCGGAGAAGCTTGCGCAGATGTGCGAACCGACAGAACGGTTTTTTTTATGTCCAAGCTGGGCTTGTTGAACTCCCATGCTCCAGCTTGAGGGGGGTGTTAGAGATAAAAGAAGGAAACAAGATTGAAGAATGAAGCAGGATTGAAGAAGGAAACCGAATTCCTTTAGAATTAGGTTTAGTATCTTTCCTAGTTTGATTTGGTTTAGTATTTAATATCTTTCCTAGTTTGTTTAATTTTTATTTTAATAGGAATAGAAATTTCCTTATTTACTTTACCCTCTTCCTATATAAAGAGGGTTAGATCTTTGTATTCAGATTAAGTTTCACAAGAGAGTAATACAGGGAATTTCCTCCAAAATAATTCTTTCAATTTTACATGTGGTATACGAGTGTTTAGTAAATCTTACATCTTGAGAGTACTTTTGGGTGAGTTGAATCAAATTTGAGATGAATTAAGCTAGGGGTACCCCATGTTGGTGTACCCCTAGCATTGCCCATTTGAGATTGATATCAGACTATCAGAGTGTGTTCGAATGGCGGTTGTTGGGTGCCGACCTACAAAATGGGCTGGGATACCCTTGCATCAGTTTAGGCCCATTTGTTCATCCAGTCTTGTTCCAGTTTACTAAATGTAATGAATAACTATGAGTTGAACTTTAGTTTTTGAGGGTCCATTTGGTGTGTTTAAGACTTGTGAATTGTGATTTTCAAGATTTTTGATCGAAAATTTGTGGATGCGGTCTTGAATGAGTGGCAGAAGACAATAATGGATTTACCAGCTGGATTTCGGCAAGCATATGAGATGGTAAAACATCTCTTATTAATTTTTTTTGTATTTAGTGTAATGATATTCATTATTATTGCCAAAATATTGATGGGTGTGTTTACATCAGGGTCTGGTCAGTTCAGTACAAATGGTAAAGTTTTTGGCTATTAATGCCAGACCCACCACAGCCAGGTTCATTTCTCGGTCAATTCCTCAGGGACTTTCAAGGGGATTTATTGGCAGGTAATTCTGCAAATTATTATATGGCATATCATTAGTATTAATATTAAATAATATAAATGGAAATACAATTAAAATACAAGCATAATATTAAATATATTAAATATATATTTTAATTATGGAAGCAATTTAAAATGGAAGCAAATTAAAGTAGCATAATTAAGTCAAATAAGCTATTTATTGGCGTGCGCTATAATTAAGTCAAATAAGGTATTAATTTTATTGTTAACTTACTATTATTAAAAAATCAAAAATTAAAAATTCACATGGTACCCTTTTATTAAACATTATACACTTAATAATAATAATAATAATAATACTTCCTCCGTCCCAGAGTATTTGTCCACTTTCATTTTTACACACCATCTAATGCTCTTCTTTAATTCATTTTATCTTGTAATTTATATATTAAAAAATTATAGAAATTATATATTAATAATTTATATGTTAAGACAAATCAAACAAGATTACACATGACTATATTTAGGCTTATACATTCAGAGAATTTGATGAGTCAAAGTGCTTAGAAGAACAGTTCCAAAAATCAAAAGTGGACGAATATAGCGGGACGAAGGTAGTAATAATTACACAATACCGTGTTTTACCATACACGCATCGGTGCATTGAAAACACACTTCAATGAGGACTCCATTCTATGTCCGATCGGAAGAAAGAAGACAAAATTTATTGCCTATGATTCGGGAGGGTC